CTTCCCTCTGATAAGAATTTGACTACACCAAACTTTGCTGCGGGTTCAGATAATCTTGCTTTGCAGCAGTCTGTGTATGCTGCTGAGAGGGGCCGTGCTCAGTTGAAGTCTTATATTGGCTACAAAGCTGAGGAAATGTATGTTTATAGGTCGTTACCTCTTGGTCAGGATCGTCGACGAAATCGCTACTGGCAGTTTATTGCGTCTGCTTCTTGTAATGATCCTGGTGCTGGCAGGATATTTGTAGAATTGCATAATGGTGGTTGGAGGCTTATTGATTCTGAAGAGGTTATCTCTCTACTCCTTTTCCCTCCCTTTCTGTTGGTTTTTTTGAAGTGCTCAAGAGCTAAAATGCTGTAATTTAAGGATTATTTGTCCCTGGCCAGCACTTTAATACCTATTTGTGATATATATATTTGTTTTTTACTCCATGCAGGGTTTTGATGCTCTCTTAGCTTCATTGGATGTACGTGGGGTTAGAGAATGTCATTTGCATGCATTATTGCGAAAAGTTGAGCCTCTGTTTAAGGAGTCCGTTAGAAAGCAGCCTAACATGGATAGACAGAACAATGTTTCCATTAAAGCCGAAGCTTCTGAAGTACATTTTAACCCTGAAAGCAGTGGTGGTACTGATAGCCCTAACAGTACTGTTTGTGCTTCAAATTCTGAGGTGCCTGAACCCTCATCGTCATTCAAGATTGAGAGTGGTAGAAACAATCTTGAAGTAAAGAGTACCTTTAAAAGGTACAAAAATTTTGAAGAGTGGATGTTTAGAGAATGTTTCTCTTCCTCGGTTTTATGTGCCACTAAGTATGGGAAGAAGAGGTGTATGGAGTTGGTGTGCAGATGTGATTCTTGCCATGATGTATATTTTTTCGAGGAGAATCACTGCCCTTCATGCCATAAAACGTATAGTGTATTTGACCAGAGCTTTAATTTCTCTAATCACGTAGCCCAATGCCAGGAGATTAAAGTTAATCTTGAGTGGAACCTCCAGCGCCTAGAATATCCTCCTCCAAGAATTAGATTGATCAAGGCCCTCTTAGCTCTAGTGGAGGTGATTTATCATATCTTCTTACTTTTATGACATTCTGCTGTGTCCCAATTCTGATATGGCTAAACTTTATATATCTATATGTTTAATATTGCTGTTCTTTTTAACAGGTTTGCATCCCTCCTGAAGCCCTTCAACCTGTTTGGTCAGATGCCTATCGAAAATCCTGGGGTATGAAGCTACATATGTCAGCATCCGCAGAAGACCTTCTACAGGTTATATGTGCTTTCACATTCTCTAAATCTGCAGTGTTATCATGTTATTTTAACCTACATGGGAGTCTATTCTTTCTGATTGTCTTCTTGTCTTGCCTGTTTTGTTCTGCAATTTTGTTTAAGAACCTGATGTGTGTATGTTTCTACTTTTCTTTGTCATCAGGTCCTTACAGTACTTGAAGGAGTGATAAAGAGGGATTTCTTGCTGTCAAATTTTCAGACAACAAGTGAATCGTTGGCTTCTGGTAATGCTACTGGGTATGTTGTCAACGATTCCACAAATTTTGGCACTGTGACTATGCTTCCATGGGTACCCCAAACAACAGCAGCAGTGGCTTTACGGCTCATGGAACTTGATTCAGCAATTTCATATCTGCCTGATCAGAAACCAAAGGATGCAGAGCCTAGGCACTTCCTGGTATGTCTTTGGCTTAATTTGTAGGTCTTCATGAATAATGATTGAATAGAGATTTAGCTATGGAATTCTGTTTCTGCCAATTTTAAATTTCTAAAATAAGCTGAAGAACAAGTTCTTATTGGACCATTATTTTATTATTTTGCCATGGATTTTTGCTCTCAATTATAGTTGTTTTCACTAAATTATAATTACTTATTATGGGAACAGTTGTGAACACTTGTGTATGTACTCACTCTTGTTTTTCTTTTTGACCTTGCATTAGAATCTTCCTTCCAAGTACGCTGTTGTGAGAACTGTCCAAGATGATGAGCTTGCTGGTCCACCAGGTGACCATCAACAGGAAGATGCATGGTTTGATCACGGTGATCTTGGATTTGCTTCTATACGCGGTAGTCGTGGCCGGGGCCGTGGTGGTAGATCCCGTGGTGGTAGATCCCAAAGAAGGGTTGCTAACTCCCGAGGTCGTGAACCTAGCAGAGGGTTAGCCTCTAACGAGAGACTTGGCGAGGTACTTGGTGGATGGAAAGGCCGCAGTAGTCGTGGTAAAGGAGGACGTAAGCGTGGTCGTCGCTCTGTCCGAAAGAAGCAGAAACCTGTTAAGAAGGTGGCATCTTCTGTTGGTGGAAGGAATCTGCCTGAGCCAATTATCTTCGATAAATCTCCTCCTGGTTTCTTTGGAAGGGGTGAATGGAATCATGATGAGAGTAGACCGATGCAAGTGGATGAGATGGATGTCAATGATGATAGCAACTCAGAGCGATCAGACTATGATGATGATTTTAATGGCCAAGCTTCAGGGGATGAGTATGATGACATGGCCATTGATGATTATACTGCTGTCTATAATGGCAGGCCTCCTCATTTAAGTGATTATAATGTTGATGATATCGATGAGGAGTATGATGATCATGATGAAGTGGGAGATGATCGTGATGAAATCGGAGATGATGATAACCGTGATGAAGTGGCAGATGATGTGGATGAAGATGATGTGGATGAAGACGATGTGGATGTTGATGGTGGTGAATATGAACAAGGCGAATTAGAAGATGTTGGAGGATATTTGAATGCAGATTCTGATGACGAGATAGAGGGGAATGGAGATGAAGATGCAATGCATGATGATAGGGATCAAGATGACACATCTGAATCTGCAGCAACTGATTATAGTAGTGATTAGGTTATTAACTTGAATATTATTAGCTTCAAGGAAGAGAGTTATTTTGGCGAATGTATTATGTAAGGTTTAGAGATCTACTTCTTTCTCTTTTTGTAAATGTGGGGCAGTTTAGAAACAATTAGTCCCATCTGATCGTAATGTTGATCAGATGTGGCTGCAAACTCAAGTGGATGGGGGGTTATGGCGGCTGTAACAATTACGAGTACATTTTGCAGTATATCTGTTAAGTTTTAGTGAATCAGAATTTTGTCTACCTTGTATTGTTATATACGTAGTATATGCGACCAAGATGGCTTAATTGATGAAAGCGAGCTCTGACAAAGTATATCTTTTACCAAGTATTTCAAGTAAATAAGCTCACAAACAAGTTTTAGGGTGCGTTGTATCATCTAAAACTTAACCGAATTTACTCTTGTTATAACTTATTTTAGTTGAAAGCTGAATAGGGTTGTAAACGATTCGATTTAAGCTGAGTTTTTGTATATTTGAGCTAAGTTTAATTAAATTAGGAGCGAGTGGGTTGATTGAGATCTGTATTGCCGGAGCACCTTGAGGGCTTGAGGCTATATAGTTAAACTTTTCCTTAGGATTGCCTCTTCCGTTTTTGATTCTTACATCACTATAACCTTCTCCATCTTTTTTTTTTTTTTTAATTTTTTTTTTCCTTTTTGGTGTTAAAATCTAGAAAAGAGTATCAACTTCCCACAAATATTAGAGGAATTGATACACTCATACCCATTGAAAATTATCTTACACATTCTGACATAAAGCAATCTCTAACAACATATAGCGCCTGATAAGATAAGCACCAATAGAATGAAAAATAACACTTTGCCCTTAAAGATTAACCACTGTAATTTCTGTTTCGGGGTTTTCTATGTTCTTCGGGAGAGTTATAATTTCAAAATTGGATTCCGGGCGCCTGTACCTGCAAAACGACGGAGACTCTGGTTGGTGGGAGTTTCGCCTCCGACGATCAAGTTAGAACGTGTTCGGATGTAAAAAGTGCAGAATGTAAATGGGATCAGGTTCCTCTTAGGAGAGGAATGATCATCCGGCTATAGCAAACAGTCTCAATATCCGAGTGTAAACTCTCAAGTGTGTTTAATTCTGCAATTAATGCTGTCACTGAATGTATGTGAATGTTGTTCCCTAGGTGGGAACATTTCCCTTTTATAGGGTCTCGAATTACGTGCCCTGTCCTAGGTTACGGAAACCTAGGACTGATTGGGCTGCCTAGGAGTTTGGGCCTTGAAGGTAGCCATTCCTAGTTGGATATATGTCTGCCACGTGTCGTGCGCTGATTGGTCCACTTTGGACTCTTCACTGAGTGACACGTGACAGACTCTGGTTGGTCCACGTGGATGACACGTGGAGGGTCTTGATTGTTCCACGTGACGGGGTAAAAATCCCCTAATCATTTGCCCCTCACAGGAGTGACGTGGCTTGCCACGTGGTGCGCCGGCTACCTGACCGCCTGTTTCTACAGCAGTTCGAGAACTTTTCAAGCGTCTTCAGCACTCTTAAACCAAAGGTAACCGCCTGCTTTTCTCTTGTATTTACTTTGTTTCTTTTCTTTTTGAAAATGGTTTCCCAAAAGCACACGGCACGGCCTAGGTTAGTGATCAGCAGGCCACCGGGGACGGCTGAATCTAGAAGTAGGAGTGCCGACTGCCCCTTGCTAGACCACCCTTTGCGAACTTCTCCAAGTCCGACTTTCTCTGTGTCTGTACAGGACACCATGGCCAGAATTAAGCAAACAATCAGGCAGCAATACACAGACGACTCCTTTAGGGCGCCTCTTAGCGAAATCTCGGACGTGTCGCCTAGCACCTCAAGTACCCCCAATGATTCAATATTACAAGAATCAGGGGAAGACTTAGAGAGTGAAGTCTCGGGCTCTGTTGGCCAGCCCCCCAGGCGGACGCTAGGTCTGACGGCTCGGACAGTGAATCTAAGCCTTGTACATCCGGCAGAGTCTCTGATGACTCTGAAGAAATGCACTCTCGGCTAGAGAAAGCGAGAGAATCCCTTTATGTGGAAAAGGGGGAGAATTAGGTCGAGCCGTCTGCTACCCGCTGAGAGCTATATGCTGCATACTATCATCACGTTCCCGCAGGCAGGCGGAAAACGATGTCTGAGAAGGTGGGGACTTTTAGAGCTGAACATGTCATGGGACATGGCATTATCTTAGTTGTGTCAGATGCCGAGGACACTGTAGTCTGGCCAGAGGCGTCCATCTACGGGGACGAATGCTTTTGCGGTTATGAGGCGGCCATTCAAGCTGGCCTTAGATTTCCCCTCCATCCGGCCGTGGAGCGAATCTTAGATGGATACCAACTGGGTGTCTAGCAACTTGCCCCAAATTCTTGGTTTAATATCCTGGGCTATGTTGCCGCCTGCGAAATGCTCGAAGTAGATCCCAGATTCGAGGCATTCGCCCACATGCATTACCTCAGTCGTACCCCAAAAACAAGTGGGTTCGGCTGGTACACTCTGTCTAGACACAAGGGCTACATGATAACCATTGGGAAGGAAAACAAATGGAAGGACTGGAGAAACAAGTTCTACATTGTATCCTGCCTAGACAAAGTGAATAACAAAACGTTCAACAGGTGGAACCGGAACCCACTTCTACTATCAGACGGATCTGAACTGCCGCCTGTTCCCAGGAAAGCCAAGGACGAGATCTTGGACAAGGGCCTCTTCAAGGTGACCATCCGGCCTAATGATGAAACCGGAGTGAGAGAGGTCATACCTCAAAGTTATATCCCTCATTATGATTGGCTATTTGACGGGAATTATTTGGCCGCCTGCGGCCTTAGCGTTAAGAGGCTGAGAGGTAGACGACCGAATGTGTTTAAGCTCTTAGTAAGACTTGTCTGTTTTTTTTTTATATATCTTACTTAACCATTTGAATCTTCTTATGCAGACAAAGCGATGGAAAAACTATCGGCCACCAAGAAACCAGCCGCCTACTACCGCTCCCTTTTGGGCAAGCGGAAGGGCGAGGAGACGCCTGCTGCTCAGACGCCCAAGGTGAGCCTTTCTTTAATTTGGCTAAGATTTGATTTATTTTTCCCACCTGCTTCTTACTCATGTTGGTTGATGTGCAGAGCGTTTCATCCAAACCTTCTCTATCTTCACAGCCGGACCCGAAGCTTCAGAAGCAGACGGCCGGCGAAGTGACGACTCCTGACAGGTTTAGGAAACATGTGGCAGCCCAGAGGCCTGGAAGGACCCATCCTCCCAAGTCCCCAGCCGCCCCTGAGAATAGCCGGCCCCAAAAGGAGAAGGAGGCGGCCGAAGTTATTACAGGCTTTAATCCTTTTCCTTACCCTTGTAGGGTCAAATTCAATCAGCAGCCGACCAGTACCTCTGAAAGCAGCCGGTCTATAGGTCGAATTTACACCAAGTATTTACAAAGTGTTGATAATGCAGATTCCCCTCAAAGGCCGAATCTTCAACAGCCGACTATGCTGAGAGCCATCTCCCTTGAGAATAGGGAGTCGGTTAGAGGAGTCGCCACCCTCAACCTTAATGCCATCCTCGCTCTTCTCGCTGAGGTATTTTAACTTGTAATTTTACTTTTTTGCGCAACTATTTTAGCCACCTGTACTAATGTTTTGCTCTTTGCCGAATGCAGTCTATGCTGCGAGTGCATGGACTTAGAAAGCCCATCCACGAGAAGACCAAAGAGATAAAAGCTGCGAATGCTCGCTCTGCCTCTTCTCTAGATACGACCATGTTTCAGATTGCTCAGAATGAATTATTGACCACTGACATCCTATATTATCAGGCGGCCGCTAATCTGCAGGTCAAGGCTGATGTGGACGCGGCGAAGAGGCGGATCTCCGAGCTGGAGAAGGAGGTTAAGGACCTCAAGGCTACGCTTGAGCCTCTCAAAGAGGCGGACTCTGAAGCAGCCGGACTCCGCACCCGGGTGGACAAACTCAAGGCCAGGCTGCAAAACCAGGATGTCCTGGTTAAACAGATGATGGACGACTGCGATGCCATCATGAAGATGGCTAAGGAGGCTCTTTTCCCGAATGCTGGCTATGAAGGATGGAAGAATCAATTTGTCGCCTCCTCTCAATAGTACAATGAAATCTCCTGAATCAAGTTCAATAGGAAGAGGAAGAGGAGGAGGAGGAGGAGTCGTCTGATTCGGCCGAGGGGTCTGACCAGGTGGGGGAGCAGGAAGCTGAAGAGGACCAGGAGCTGGCTGGGGAAGAGAAGGATGTGGCTGCTGACACTGAGAAGCCCCCTCCTGAAGCTTAAGCCTTGAATTGTTTTTCTATGGCCGGATGGCAATGTACTACTTTCTTCAGCCTTCGTGCCGTATGTTTCTTTGTATTTTTACCGAGCGAGGGGTCGGGTTATTGACAATCTTTGCCGATTGTACCGGTTAACTCATTTTAGTCGACCATAAGGTCGGCTAAGTTTAATATATGAATCATTCGACCATTGGGCCGGTTCTTTCCATTTTACACTCGTTTTTGAATTTTCAATTTGCATAGATTTTAGCTAAGTATAACTTGCCTTTTTCTATGAAATTTTTCACTATACTGGTTGTTCTTGCCCCTGGACGGCTATGCGCTTGGTTTTCAAAGGTGGTTTAATTGACTTAGAAATTTTTGGTACTTAAAATGAGTATGAATGGTTTCCAGGTCAATCAATCACTATGGTGATTGCCCCAAACCAGGCGAACAGTCGGCCATCAAGCAGGCGGGTAGGTATTATCCGACCTTCGGCCTCATTAGGTTGTTCAAAATCGAACAATTTTAACTGCTATGTTTTTTGACTTAGCTTATTTTTATTATTTAGTCTTTGCCGCCTGTATTGCACATGGTTAATAACAGGCGTTAGTCAGTGTATTCAACCAAGATAATGGTCGCTTGTTACATTACATGCGGTATGTTCTAGTTATTTTGGTTTCGTTTTAATCTAAGTGGGAATAAAGGACGAATGCCGGAAGGTGTCAAAAAGACGTGCGGCTTTGTGCACACCGTTTAGGTTCCCTTTTAGATTATTTAGATCAATCGGCTGTGAGTTAGCCCATTTTGGGTTAATTAGTCTTTGCTGCTTGATGCCTACTCATGTTGGAGCAGATAGATTTGGGTTTTATTCAAGAAGCAGACGGACAGTGGCCGCATCTTGTTGCTTTCAAATTTTTGCTACTAAGTTTTGGACTTAGCTTATTTTTCAATTAGCTGCTAAGTATTGGACTTAGCTTATATCCTCAAATTTAGCCGTCTGTATTGCCCTTGAGCAATAGCAAGCGGTATCTGACCAAGATAATAACTGGGTACTGCTTGTATTAAAACAGTCAGCTATTCACTTAGTCTCATTTGATCAATTCAAACGTCTGCGAGCTTATCTTATTCTAGACAGTCGATAGGGCCGTTTGTTTTAAGTTTATAGAGCTATGTGCCACCCTAATGGGAGATGCTCTCTGCGACAAATTCACGCAGATGTGCGTCGCCGAACGCTTCCTCATATTGGAGCAGACGTATTTTTTAAAGATCCTCCGCCCATTGGCCTCATAAAGATACCCGACAATTGGCCTCATTAAGATTATCCGGCCATTGGCCTCGTTAATAGCTGCTAAGTATTGAACTTAGCTTATATCTACTCATGTTAGAGTAGACGAAAGCATAAAAAGTATTAAAAACAAATAGTAACGTTTTATTGATGTGCTTTTAATTACAAAAAATTTTACAAGTCTTAGAAGTAGTACTTTTTCAAGTTATCTACGTTCCAAGTTTTGGCTAGCTGCCTGCTGTCTGGTGTTTCCAGGCGGTAGGTGCCGCCTCAAAATTTTTCATAAATCCGGTAGGGGCCCTCCCAATTGGGAGTCAGCTTTCCCTGCTCATTGGCCCTACCTGTTGCCTCCATTTTCCGTAACATAAAGTCCCCCACCTTCAGGGGCTGTTTGTGTACTCTTTTGTTGTAGGCTCTCGTCATTCTCAGGTGGTAGATCTCATGATGCAAGGCGACATTGCCCCTGCGTTTCGGAAGTGAGTCCAATGCTAGCCGCATGGCCTCTCAGTTTGCCTCTTCGTCATATAGCATGACTCGAAGAGTTGGCTCATAGTGCTCAATAGGCAAAACAACTTATGCACCATACACCATGAGAAATGGGGTTTCACCAGTTGCCCCTTTTTCAGTCGTTCTGATGATTCATTGAACATGCGGCAACTCATCTGCCCATAGACCGCCAGCTCATTCAATTTTCTTTTTAATGCCATCTGAGATTAACTTATTGAAAGCCTCAACCTGGTCGTTTGCTTGGGGACGGCCGACTGATGCAAAGCAATGAGAGATCCCTTGGTCTCCCAACCAACTCTTGAGAGTAGGCGTCTCAAACTGAGGGCCATTATCAAAGACCATCGACCAAGGCACCCCAAACCGGGCGATAACATTTCTCCAGATGAAGGAGATAACATCTTTAGCCTTGATGCCTTTGACCGCCTCTGCCTCTACCCATTTGGTGAAGTAGTCAACAACAACTAGAACATATCGCCGTCCGCCTGGAGCAGGCGTATATGGACCCAGGATGTCCATGCCCCATTTGGCGAATGATACTGGACTGTAAATAGCCGTCAGATCAGTAGCCGGACGGTGTATGAGTCTGCCAAATCCTTGACACTTATCACATTTTTTCACCATTTTCATGGCGTCTGCTTCAAGGGTGGGCCAAAAGTAACCTTGCCGCCTGGCCCTCTTTGCTAGGGACCTGCCGCCTATGTGTGAGGCGCAAAATCCCGAATGCAGATCTTCTAGAACCTCTCGTCCCCCTTCTGGGGTGACGCATTTCAAAGGTGGTTGCAAATGACCCTTCTTGAAAAGTGCTCCATTATGGATTTCAAAATTAGCCGCACGTTTTTCCATTGCAACCCTCTCTCGATGAGTATCCGGCGAGGTGCCGTCTGCTGGTAAGCCCAGATGCCATCCATCCAGGTTGAGCTTCGATCCAGAATTCCAATGGGATCTTGTTCAATGCTTCTTTTTTCCATAACTTTCCAAAAGACTGACCGAGGTGTATCACAAGAGGCGGATAGTGCCAGCTTAGAGAGAGCATCCGCCTGGTTGTTCTCTAACCTGGGCACTTGACTTAGATGAAATTCATTAAGTGTCCCAGGGCACTTGACTTAGATGAAATTCATCAAGTGTCCCAGGGCACTTGACTTAGATGAAATTCATTAAGTGTCCCAGGGCACTTGACTTAGATGAAATTCATCAAGTGTCCCAGCCTCTTCTTTGACTGCCTGCAAATATTTGATCATGGCCGGATGGGTGGCCTCATAGTCACCATGGTATTGGCTAACGATCAATTGTGAATCAGAGCAGGCGTCCACTTTTCTTGCCCCTGCCGCCTTGCACATGCGGATGCCGGCTAGTAGGGCTTCATACTCTGCCTCATTATTTGGGGCCTGGAATTTGAACCGTAATGCATATTCATACTTATCTCCTTCAGGAGATTGACATATGACGCCTGCACCACAACCGTTCATTGTAGAGCTCCCGTCCACATATACCTTCCAAACGTGATCAAGATTTTTCGGATCAGCCGGCCTTCTCATTTCTACAATGAAGTCGGCAAATGCCTGTCCTTTCACTGTCTTCCTTGGTTCAAAGAAAATTTCAAGGCTTTGAATTTCAATCGCCCATTTGATCATTCGGCCGGATGATTCCATGGTTGTCATTGGCCGCTTGATAGGTTGGTCTATGTAGACCACAACCGGATGTGCCAAGAAGTAAGGTTTAAGCTTTTTGACTTCCATAAAGAAAGCAAGGCCAAAATTTTCAACCATTGGGTTTCTCAGTTCTGCATTTCGTAGAATATGACTGATGAAATAGACCGGGAACTGGGTGCCGTCTCTTTCAGCAAGGAGAACAGCACTGAGAGCATTGTCTGAGACGGCTAAGTACGTGTATAACACTTCCTTTGGCAAAGGGCTAACAAGCCTTGGCAAAGAGTGCAAGTGTTCTTTTAGTCTTTGAAAGGCCGCCTCAGCATCCGGCCTCCATTCAAACGTAGTCTTCTTTTTTATAGCTTGAAAGAAAGAAAGGCACTTGTCGCCTGACCGGCTGAGGAATCTTCCCAATGCCGCCAGACAACCTGTTAATTTTTGAACTTCTTTTACAGTGCGAGGTGACTTCATGTCAATGACCGCCTGTATTTTTTCTGGGTTGGCTTCTATCTCCCTTTAATCAATCAGAAATCCGAGAAACTTTCCAGACTCAACACCAAAGACACACTTTTTGGGATTGAGCATGACCTTCTGCCGCCTGAGTGTGGCGAATGTTTCTCGGAGGTCAACAAGGTGATCCGCCTGTAGTTTTGATTTGATAATCATATCATCAATGTAAGCTTCTACATTCCTCCCAAGTTGATTAATGAAGACTGTATTAATCATCCGCTGGAAAGTAGCAGGCGCATTTTTCAAACCAAACGGCATCACGGTGTAGCAGAATAACCCCTGATCAGTGACGAATGCCATCTTCTGTTGATCTTTCTTCTATAGGGGTATCTGATGAAAGCGTGAGTAGGCGTCCATGAAACTTATCAAGGCATGGCCGGCTGTAGAGTCGATACAACTGTCGATCTTTAGAAGAAGATGACTGTCTTTTGGACATGCCTTGTTCAAATCTGTGTAATCAACACACATGCGCCAGGTACCATTCGGCTTCTTGACTAGCACAACATTTGCCACCTAATCTAGGAAGTAACATTACCGAATGAATCCAGCATCTAATAGCTTTTTTACTTCGGAGGATGTCGCCTAACTTCTTTCCTCGCCATGGTCCCTTTTCTTTTGCCTAACAGAATTCTTTTTGGGATCCACAACAAGTTTGTGAACAGCAAGATCCGGGCTTATGTCTGGCATCTCTTCCACTTCAAAGGCAAAAATATCTTTGAATTCTTTCAACAAATTGTGCAAGTTTGCACCCAAGTTTGCAAAAGCAGCCGTCCTAACCTTAACAGTTCGCTCTTGCCGTGTGTTGTCCAGAGCAATATCAATGTATTCACCATCTGGCTGGGGACGGAGTTCATCCGATCGTTCCCCGGTCAGTGATTGCTATTGTCTTTCTTTTTTAATGGCCACCAACTGGTCGGCCTTTTTCTTTTTGCCGTCTGCTATTAGAGCAGGCACAACATCCCTGATTTCGTCAAGGTCTATTGGTCCATTGCCTTGGCCGGATGCGACCACCGTAGGCTTGACGTCCTAGAGGTAGCACTCTCTAGCTGTCTTCTGATCTTCGCTTAAGGAGCC